CAACCAAGAGATACCTCTGAACCTGCCACTGTGGCTTGGCCTAGATGCAGTTTAGCATTGTCTGAAGGGGACCTACTTCTCACGGCCTTTTGGTTTGGAAAATGGGGAGAATGCACATGTTCCTGTTATAAGCACAGCAGAGAAAAATGAGAGAAGGGTTCATTTTTCTATCTTAAATTACAGGGGCATGCTAATACAAGGAACCGCTAAAACCCCTCCAGGGTGAAGTTGTCAATGTTTTAGTCTAGTGCTGTCAGGAACTGCAGGAAACCAGATGGAGGTATTTCTTACCTTGCACCATCCAATATAGCGGCCAGTTGTCTGTCTCACTGAAGAAAACTGCTTCTGCAAGTGACCAGGCTGTTCTTCAACATATTTGGATTTCAGAGGTGGTGGACAGTAAATTGGAAGCTGGCAAGAAAAGCATAACTGTACTGCAGGGAGATAGTTTTGTACACTGATAGGCATTTACACCAAATAGTGTTTTTCGAGACTGCAAATCCTGAGCATTCCCATTACAGCAAACAAAACCTCTACATGGAATTATGCTCCTTTGTATTTACACACTCACTTTACACAAGTCTGACTACAGGCTAATTCTTCAGAAATGAAAACTGAAAGTATTGTATAGATTCTAAGAAACAGAATTACTGAGTATGATAAAAATCTTTTATTCAGAAAAAGCATGAGCAAGAGTAGTTGGAAGATTTATACATGTATTACTAGAAATTGCACAACAGAAAAAGACTTATTATCAATAAGTATTATGCTCTTTTACCTTTTCTGGATTCAGTCTGGAAATAATGTAATAATAAACATGAGATAAAACTTTACTAACTTAGTACTGTAACACTTCATGTTTGATTTGTGCAATAGTGGTCAGTTATTTAGGAGGTAATTTTTATTATCGCATATTACTTAGCTATGTATTCTATTTACTAGGTAATGTAATTCAATGGAAAGAGATGATATTCTGCAGATTCTTCTAGTATTATTTTAAAGACTGACAAACGGTAAGATTCTTACCTGATTTGGCTTCACCAGCTGACCTTTTGATTCCTTTTCTGCTGCTGCATATACAGTAATACAAGCAAACGGCAGACCAGAAGAAACAGCTGCCAGCTTTGCCACCTGGGACAAGCAAGACAGATGAAAAAAGGCAGTTTTAATGCAAGACATAAAAAATTCACTCCAGTAAAGTCTGGCTTTTACTACTGCGTTGTGCTTGATCAAATATGGGATTAAACAAGTCACTTCTAAAATCTTTTAAAAATAGTACACTTTTTAGAAACCTCTTCTGGTTTAGACAAAGATTTCCTCAAATTACAATGGTACAGAAAAAGCTAGAGATCACTGACCACAACAGTTAGGTCTAAAATATCAGGAAGAATTTTGTGCCCAAAGCCAAGTTAATGGTTTCACCACCCCTTAAGGTAAATTCAGTTCTAATCTATTCAACATACAGGTACTCCAAGTCAATAAATGGCTCTCTTGTTTCAGCAAAAAGCACCTCAAATTTATTCACAGGAATTCTCCATGACATCAGACAAAACGTTCCAACTCAGAGAGCGCTTCAAACTGCCTGTTTGAAATAACTGCATGTTAACAATAAATGAAAATATGTAGCAATTACTGGAATTAAGAATCATCTCCTTAACATACGAATCACGTATGCTACAAGGTGAACTACGAAAATACAGGTTTAGTCATGATAGCTTGATGTCTGCTTAGAATAGGTTTGGAAAAAATACCGTATATGACACAAAGTTTAAACTCAAATACGGGAACATTTTTTAACTGACTGCCTTAAGGTTCCAATCAGAGCTGGCATTAAGCATGCTGGCATGCAATGTATCAAAAAACTTGCCACAACATGTTAAAGCACTCACAACTTTGGTAGGTTTTTGTTTCTTTTATATCAGCAAAGACTTTCCTGTTCTGTTCTTCACCTGAAGCACTTTTGAAACTTTAAAAATAAGGATGAAAAATGTTCCCAGGATCTGCATAGAGATGATGGTGCTAGTGCCAGTCAAACAGAAAAGCAGGGAAAAAACAACTTGATTTTGGGAAATACCTTATATCCCTAGTATAAAACTCTACTATATCCTCATTGTTATCTCAGCTTTCAATTGGAAGTGTCCTGTCAAAGGAGTGGGATTTACTCAATTGCATTTAGTTATAATAATGAAAACATAATGAACACAAAGAAACACAAAAGCACGACCCTGAATCAGCTCAAGTTCATCAGATATCAATCACAGGCAGATTAAACTACTCAAGACAGCAAAACACCATCACTTCTGAAGTAAACCGTGTGATCACCACAGCAGAACTTTCAGATCGTACAATCGCAGTGGAACACAAAGCTGCAGGAGAACAAAGGAGGACACTGCAATGACGAGAGGACTCTTATGAAAGAAGGGGCAAGCAGACAATGCCAGAGCTGAAAGCTTTAGGATAAGCTAAAAATTTCTCTTCAGTTGCATTTTTCCGCATGGGGGGCGGGAGGGAGGAAGGGCTCCTTAGGGCTTCTCTACACTTGCGGTCTTCATTGCTATACACTATCCCTGCTCTTAACATATCGCCAACGTGCCCCTTCCCTCTCCTTAGAGCATAATCCTTCTTCTCAGCATAGTTCCCGCACCACCCTAAAAGTTTTCAGTTGGCTAGAATTTATTTTATTTCATGCTTTTCTTTGATACAGAAACAGTAGGGAAACGTGTAGGGCTGAGCTCATCTTGCTTCGAGAGGCAGAACCCCACCACTTTTTCTCTTCAGGCCAGGTTGATGTTATGACATTTTTGTAACACAGCTATGCCATCTGGAAGCACCCAAACCCCCACAACTCCAGCACAGCCAGGCTGGCAAACCCACCACTGTAAACACAACCGTGTGGATCAGTGTGTGCTATTCTCTTAATTTAGACGAGTGACACCCCAAAATACTTTCCCTTTGCCAATGAAGTGTAACAGGTCTGGGGCGCACTGATCCAGAACTGCTAGACATGGCCACTAGCCGAACGCTGGGGAGATGGGGAGAGCGGGACAGCAGCGACTGAGCGAGCTCCTCCTCCACAGCGGCTCGCAGGCAGGGCAGGACCCTGGGATAGCTGCTGCGCCTTCCCTCACCTGGGGAGGGAGGCTCTACCTGCACAGCGGTGCGGGAGCAGACTTTGCAAGTTAAGCCAACAATACATCCGGATTTGGAGCAGCGCAGAGCGGGAGATGCCAAAAATCACGTTGCAAAAGAACCATGGTTCTCCCATGGTGACCCAGCTGTGCTGCAAGCTTGGACATGGTCAGAAGGAAGAATGAGGTGACACCCTTCTGGAAATCTGGAGTGAAAAGTCCCACATACATGAAAATACAGCCATGCTGATATCATTTATGTTGACCAGCACTGTGAAAAAACTCAGTCACACGTTGACAAAAGGTTTAACATACACCTTTAATTAACATTAAACATCAACGATCTAACACACTTAGGTTACGACTGCTATGCCGAGGGGCACTTCCCATTTTTCTTTTCATGCCT